AGGGAGATCATCTTTATCCATAGACCCTCATTTTACAAAGAGATTTCAATCCAAACACCATGCATTACACATAAGCTACAGTGTTGATTACATAAATATGTATGTGTACAGGATTAATGAATATTGCATACATATGTAAGTATGAATATTATCCCAGTGATGCCAGGATGGCATACTATATCCACTGATTTCAGTTTATTGATTGTATTTACACATTGATATCTCCACAAGTAATAAGCCAACAAAGAATCAATTACTAGTCCTATCTATCTCACCTTTTATTTCTTTTCCATAATGTTTTTGGGGAAAAAGACATTATTAGTATTGCTAATAACAGTGTGATAATCATAAATTCAATAATGATAATAACAACATCGTTATAAATAGCATTAGAAAAAATTAAATCTGAAAACTCAAGGACATTGGCTCCCCAGTGGCATGTGCAAACAATATTCATAAAACAATATTACACTGGACAGTACAAGTAACTGGCATCAATGGATTAAATGCCTCACTTATAATTTTAAAACTACCAAGCAGGCATAGTCTGTCATGATGTGGTTATGGTGGGCCAAATAGTACAATTTTTTCCTTCTTCCCAACGCAGCTGGTAATTTGTGCAGATAATAATCCAGGACAGCTGAATATCAGAATTTTGTACACATTAAAGATGGTTTATGTGCATCAAGCATAGGCAGACCTACTGTAATGACTTTTTGTCATATTTGGTAGCCATGATATACTGGAAAAGGTGCAGATAAGAAAGCGTTGTAAGAAAGTCCATGTAAAATGAGGGTTCCCTGTGCATTTGTATTTCAGCTCATTTATCATCTCCATAGGATATTTGTTTATGGAGATAATTTGCTTGGTATCAGATTTTCTTTATGCAAGGAAAAGAATTAAAACCAATTAAACCCAAAGCAAAGCTCTTGAGATTTTTACTCTCTTTAAAGTTAATTTAGAAAACTTGATATTTATATAAATGATATCTTCACTTGAGTTTTCCTGCTTGACTTCAAGGAATATTTCTGAAAATGTGCAAAGTGATTGGCCAAATGACCGAGCTTCCCAGGTAGAATTATCAACTCCTTGCAGATATTGGCGGTCACTCTCCAACCTGGTTGCTTCCCTTCTCAACTCCATCCAGTCCATCGCCTCCCTGCTGCTCCTGCTCTTCCTCTTTATTATTATCTTTGCTCTTCTGGGCATGCAAGTCTTCGGTGGCCGCTTTAATTTTAACCCAATGGAGGACAAACCGCGGCATAATTTTGACAACTTCGTTCAGGCCATGTTGACAGTGTTCCAGGTATACAGTTGTCAGGTTGCAGTCCTCAGTTGCTGAGAGTGTTTTTGCCTTGTTTTTTGTTTTACTGATTTTGTATCTACAATTTTGTTTTGTTTTGCTGTTGAACTGTGTACTGACTATGTTTGTTGATTTATTCTTGGTTGTTGTTTTTATTCCCACTATTTCCAGAATAGAAGAAAATTTTTATCTAATGTTGAATGTTCCAAGGACTAATTTGGATAGTCAAGAAGCTTTAGTAACAATCCTTAAAGCTAATTGACAACTCGTCCATCTGCCACTAGATGTTATATAACCATAACAAAAATGAAGTTCCATCAAATGTTGAACATCCAAATTTCTGAGATGTGTTATACTTACAGTAAAGAATCTATTTAGTTCTGATCAGTATTGTATTTCTTTAACTCTTTTATTGTATTTATTTATATCCTTTTTCTTTTTTTTCCTTTTGTTTGTGTGTAATAGAAATATTTATTTTTTTGTGAAATTTTATTTGTTTGATATAATGCTTATGTATTTTTAGATAGTGTTAGTTGATTTTTTTCTTAATTAAGCTTATACACAGCTTTGTATTGTAAATGCATGTTATTTGTTTGTTATTTATATTTTTTAACTGGTATTGAATGTGTATATATGATCAGAGCTACACATGAGTTCCGCTTGAAAAATTCTGACTAATATAGTTACATATTACAGTGTGTTTGCAAGTATTTCATTGTTAAGGTAAAATGACAGAGATTTTTTATTGCATGATGCATGGAATTTAGAAGTAGCATGATTATTGTGTTAAATATTTCAGACAAAGTTAAAAATTCATAAGGATGCAATGACCAGTTGCTAAACAGTTATTTCCAGTTTTCCAAATATGATCTACAGTTTACAGTAGATACTCTTTCTTTATATATGTCCATATTATCAGCTTTTCAAAATGTCTTTGAGTCAGATAACATTATTTTTCAACACTATATTCTTATCTTTGACTGGTATATAAAGTTAATGCTTGTTTTGGTCTGCAGATCCTGACAGGTGAGGATTGGAACGTAGTGATGTATGACGGTATTCGTGCCTATGGTGGAGTGGCCACTGCTGGCATCATCGCCTGTTTCTACTTCATCATTCTTTTCATCTGTGGTAATTGTATCCTTTCCAAAGGCCCTTTAGAAATAAGATAAAAATGGATTAGCTTCATTCAATAATTCATACATATTAAAGCTGGTGCATGATGCTCTGGTTTCCATAAGAAAATCAAATATAGGATTTCTTTTAGGCTGGAGGTCATTTATCTGTATATCTTATTTTATAAAAACAATTTAGGAATTTCTTGAAATACCCTCTATTGTTGATTATAATTTCCTATCCACAGCTCTCAACTTTCCAAATATTTCCTGGGAATCAAGATTTCTTTTCTTTCATTTTCTTTTCTTTTCTATTAAGTACATTTTTTATATTAGTTTAATGTTTTATCTGCTTACTATATGAGTTATACCCATGTGGTAACTTGGTATAAAATGAAAGACCTTAACTCACAAAAACAGACATCTTGCTCAATGTCTTCTTGGCTATCGCCGTCGACAACTTGGCCGATGCTGATGCTCTTGGTGACGCGGAAGAGGAAGAAGGCAAAGAGGGAGAGGAAGTAAGTAGGCAGATTGTATATATTGTATATACCTTTATATTGCTTTATTCTTAACACAACACATCCCAAAGTTACTGATACTGTTTATTCACATACCATTTTTTTTTTCTTTCTTTCTTTTTTTTAATCAATTTATTTATTTCTGTATTTTTTTCAGGGTGAAGGTGGAGGTGGTGAAGAAGGTGAAAAGATAGAAGAAGAAGGAATAGAAGGTGAAGAAAAGACAGCACTAAATCACATAGCTATGAGGTAATTATAACAAGACAATTCTATATGGTCGGCATATTTTTCTCTATAATTAACATGTGAAATTAGCAATAGATACATTAGTTAAAGGTTGATTATAGCCCTTTGTTTTATAATGTTGTAAGTTCTAGATGATAAGGTATTATTTTCCTAAGTTTAAAGCAAACAAGCTTTCTCCATGCAACATTTTATTTGAGTCTTAATTAACTATAAACATTGTTAAGCAAGTTGTTTCACAGTTTTAGGTAAAATCAATGAAGATTTATATTATGGCTCACCTTATTTTAAGCCTCTTTATCATCACAGCTTCATTTATTTCCTCTAATATTTACTAAAGTTTCATAAAACCATTTTTTCCAGGGATGGTGATGCTGCCAGTCATGCAAAAGTACAGATAGAACACGACCAAATACCAGAAGAAGGAAAATATGATGATTATGAAAATGAAGGGGAAATGGAAGAAGGTAATGCCACGTTGTCTTTCCATTGCTCAGTTCCTCTCGTTTTAAATTCATTTTACTTTTTCCGTATATGCAGTTTCTTAGTGACATGTTTTATCTCAACATAATATATTGCAAACTTATATGATATGTTCATTATATATACTGTGTAATTTTATTTGATCTCTTTCTTTTTTAACAATGAAAGAAGAGTTGATAGCATATGTTTCAAAATGAGAATCTTAGATGTTTAATGTCACAGTTGAACATATACAGCACTTTGAAGCATGGATCTTGAAATATGATAACCCATGATATTTCACATATTTCTAGCTAATACTGTTTTTGGTAAAAAAAAATGTGTTTTCCATGAAATGATAATCATAAACTCATAAACCATGACTTTAAAGGAATCCTAATCACCATGGAATACCCTCCTTCCTCTATCCTCTTTACAAAATCCATATCTAAAGATTGAACAACAATGTCACACAAATCATCTATTAATATTGCTTTTGAATATATTCTAATATCCATGTCCGCATAGTTTGTCCTCCATGATAGTATGCTCTCAAAATCTTCCTAATCTTCAGGGGCCCCATTCTTAAATCCATTTGGTAATCTGACTCATTGTATGGCACTCTATGGGTTCTTTTCTAGCTTGTTCAGTTATAGCAGATTCTGAATGTATTAACTGTTCTTATAAATGTGGCAGAAATGCTTCGTCATTAGTTTAGTTGACTATCATTTACTACTGTTGTTAATAGTTGTCACTTATATTGTTTATCCATACTTGTTTTTAAGTCATTTAAAAGAGATCAGTGACCATCATGACATGTTTATAGTTAAAGTTTCTCATTCTTTGAACGTATTCTGATGAAGCAGATTTCAATTCATTGATTGATAGTTTCTTGTATATAACACTTTATATGTTATCAGTTATATCCTTAAAGAAAATTATAATGGCCTTGATGCCTTAGTAATTTTTAAATCCAAATGTATGTGAATAGAATTTTTTTTTGTTAGATTGTTTTCCCTATAAAGTTCACTCTTTAGCCTAGAAAGGACCAGAATGTTCTTTTTAATTAATTTCATATTATTTTCAAGTATATCACATTTGAATGACATCTATGGGAAGTTGTAATTTTGTGTAGGACAGAGAAGCAAACACTTTCTTTCCTTTTTGGTGCATTTCTGTATAACAGACAGTTCTATATTTAGGTCCAGTTGAATGACAGATTAGTATCAGCTACATTTATTTGGAGGGAAAGTTTTATTAAGGTAATAGGTGCTACTGTATGGCTTATCTGAGAGTTATTCTTGCTTAATGTTTTTCACAGTAATCTTCATTGAATTAATTTTGACTTGTATGAGGATGGCTTAGTGAGGATTCAACTTCTTGATAAATAATTTTTGATAATGTTAACAATAATCTAAAAGAAATAATTACAAATTTTACAGTATATTCATCAAGGACAATGTAAAACAAAAGATATTGAATAGTTCAATTTAAAGTGCTGTATATGGATATGAATTCTGATTTGTATCTTTTATCAAAAGTACAAGCACATAGTGAAGCACTTGTGATTAAGCCTTGAAAAATTAACAGAGCTTTATATACTATATAAATACCTTTCATATAGTGATTTTTCTTTATATTCTTTACATGTTTATTGCTGAACTGTCCATGCTTTCAGACAGGGTAGTGGTCTTGAGAATCATTAATCTAAATTAGTGTATGCTAAATGTATTTATTGTGTGTTTGTCTATGTATTCAAGAAAGAGAGAGACATTGAGAGAAATATAGGAGATAAAGAAAGAGAGAGACAGAGAGAGAGAGAGAGAGAGAGAGAGAGAGAGAGAGAGAGAGAGAGAGAGAGAAAGCATTTACAAGTTTCAGTTTTTTTTCATTTGTGTGGCTGGGTTTGTTTGTTTGTTTTTTTCCTTTATATTCATTATTAGTTACATTAGTTTAGCTGAATGTGACATGAAATACGAATCCACTCGTGTTCACTTGTGCTTGTACCTAATATAGTCTTTTTTTCACAGATTTTCAAATATTTTTAACCTTTTTTCTTCAATATTATCTTTACAGAAGTTATTATTGTACCTCAATATCCACAGTACTGATAGTTGATTTTATTCTATATGAGTGTCAGTTGCATAGAATACCAGCTTGTGTGCTTAGGTTAGAAAATCAGTAGCTAGTATATCAGACATTTGTATTTTTTTTTACTTCTGTTTCGCTTTTAGTGTCATTTATTTTGCATATGTGTGCTTTTTCTCTTCTGTGAGGCATTTTTAATCTTGTTTTTCAGTTGTCAATCAATACTATTCATCTCTTAATAGATGTTATTTCTGCCTAAGATCCGTTTCTTTGTTAAGTTTTCTGTTTTAAATTTTGCATATTGCACCAATCCTCAGAATTAGTGTTTGTATTTGATTTTAATTTTGTTGATATTCTTGATATTAGTAGAATTAGTTACTGTACTATGATTTGATTATTTTATGGTTTACTTGATGATAACAGTATTTTCAGGTTTTCAGTGATCTCTCCCATTATAATGCCCTAATCAGATGCCATGTGTGCATTTTATAGTTATATGCTTGAAGCTCTGGCAGCCATAAACTGCAAGGCACAACCCACCAGTGATGTGTTGCACTAGTTAGCTATTCGTGTACACTTTTTCCTGCTTTATGTGGCTACTATAACTTGTCTCCTCTCCAGCTTTGTCAAGTACCTGGTTGCTCTAAAATGTAACCATGTCAGATGTCAGAATGGCACCTGCGGATGTAACTATCCTTCTCCCCTCTAAACGGTCCTCTTGTTTCTGTGGTGTTCTCCCTCCACTCTTTCTCATTCCTTATATTTCTGTTTGTCCCATTTCTCTTAGTGAATCTATAATTTCCTTGTCGTCAAATGTTTGTATACACCTGTAAAGCTGTTTTTAGTCCTTATAACACATCATGCGTCACAGGCCATCTCTCTATGACTCTCTCTCAGTTCTTTTCATCTAGTTAAAGGACATTTTTTATTCATCTCATTTTCTGTTTTGATATTTAGGGATTCTTCCTTTTTACAAATCTTTTTTCATTTTTCTATCATTTTTGTTTTAGTTTTTCAGAGAGTGCAGGCTTTTGAGTAATCATAGATTTCAAAGAATCATTTCAAAGATTTATCCAATTATCCACTTGGATTCAGTTAAGGATTCTGTAAACCAGTTCCAAAAAACTTGAAATTAATATCGTGTTGCTTTACTTTTTTCACTAGTGTTTAAAGATGTCATGGCTTCCAAGCAATCCCAAAGTGATTGAAATTTTAAAGATACATTCCCATAACATCATGTTACTTTCTATTACCACTACTCACATCTCCAAAACATCTCTGAACTTTCTCCTTTTATGATGTTTTTTATGATTTCTTACCTGTAGGGTTTGTGTATCAACCCATCAAGTATCCAGCTGCTTCCTATATCACACCAATACCTCAACAATTACAGAACATTATGTAAAATAGTAATCATCAATAATGATTATACTTGTAACATTATTTTCAGTAGAATCATAGCTAGTGTTGTCTTTATGGCATCATTGCATCAGTACTTCTTACTTATTCACTTATCCCATTTGTTCCCATTTTCCATTATTATAAATTTGTTGGATCTGTTTTGTGTTTTCCACTATTGTAAGCTACTTCAACTCACTTCTATTAGTTCTCATGTGTCCTGCTGTCATTATTTGACACAAATTTAACTTTCATAACAAAGATCACATTGCTTTGCTTACATTAACTCAATTTTTTGCTTTTTTAAATAACTTTATTGCTTGTGCTTAATATAGTCCCTCTTTATTTTTATTCAATTGTTACTATGCCACCTTCACAGAAAGTCCTCACTATAACTATAGCAACTGCTTGTCACTGTCATATCCTGTTATCCTCCTAATCATCACTACACATGCACTGCCATGTAAATTCTAAGCCTTACTATATTTTCTGTGTCTCTAACCCATCTCCTAACCTAACCTAACCTAACCTAATGGAAATATAATTATTTTTGCTTTTATGTAGTTATTCAGCCATTTATTCACTGCATATGTGCTTCTGCTCATTCTTTAAATTCTTTTACCTTCACAATAATCACTTTTTCTTTTCACCCAACTTGTTCTTCGATAACAACCATTACATCACCATTTTCAACACCACTATCACTACCTCTGCCTTCAATACCCTTAGCTCCTAAGCCACCAGACCTACTATTCCACCTCCCTGCTACAACCCCCTAGTATCCCCCCTCACCACCATGGCTGTGGTATGTTACAGAGGAGGAAGAAGTGGAAGAGGAGAGCGAGGAACATCCACCAGGAGCCAGACCACGGCGTGCATCGCAGCTCAGTACTGCCACCAAAATCAAGCCATTGCCCCCGTTCTCCAGTTTTTTTATTTTCTCCCACACAAACAGGTATGTGTGTGTGCCCCAGGCTTGGTGCACACACTACACAACCCACAACACAAAAAGGTCCTAAACATTATAAATGTTTCCTGTTCCCTAACCCTGGTCCTTCAATGGTGCTGTGCTGTTACACCGCTTACGACATAGCTATGGGCACCACTGCTTCTGCCATGTAGCACACTGAAGCACTGCCAGTGTGCCGTTGTTCCTGCCAACACTACCTATGTGCTGCAAACTGTTAACACTGCCTCTGTGCCACAGTGCCTGTCTTCAGAGTTTCAAGGCAACATTGTGGTTTAGCAAATGGCAGTTTTTCATTACCTCTGTGGTACTTTTTTGGCACCACTATTTTGGTGGCACCAAACATGGTATACAGCCTCTATGTAATATATGACAACATACATTGTCTTTCTGACATAACACAGAACATTATAGACCATTTGAACATGCTCTCACATGCCACATTTTCTATGTGTTTCTGTTGCTGCTGCAGTGTGTGTGTGTGTGTGTGTGTGTGTGTGTGTGTGTGTGTGTGTGTGTGTGTGTGTGTGTGTGTGTGTGTGTGTGAGAGTGTGTGTGTGTGTGTGTGTGTGTGTGTGTGTGTGTGTGTGTGTGTGTGTGTGTGTGTGTAGAAAGATAGCTTGATTGTTTATACATTGAGCACTTGTGTCAATGAACAAGTGTATAGATTTATGTGCAGATTTGTGTGTGTGCTTGTGTGTTTGTTTGTGACTCATGTGTACACATGTTTGGGCTTTATTTACCAATTCTATATAAGAACAACACATGCAAGCACAAGGTAGGTGGAGGCAGGAGCCACATGGCAGGGGCAACTCTGTGCAGTTTCTGGGTGCCAAGAATCTCCTGGATGCCACACAGATCCGAGATGGGATTTGCGCTGCTGTACACCAGTTTTTTTTTTACTTCTTCATCTTTCCCTGCTGTCCTTGCACCATCCAAAGGTTTTCCTCCTTCTCAATTAATCCTCCAAGGCCAAATTTTCCGCCATTCTTTTTCTAGAAGGGGAATACGACGAAACTGAGGGAGAGGCCGGAGAGATGGTCCAGGCCCCACGACCTTCCCCAAACGAGAGCGGTACCACAAAAGTTCAGCCCATTCCAAAATACACCTCTTTCTTCATTTTTACCCATACAAACAGGTGATCTTAGAGCCCTACCTACCATACTACTGCTACCACTGTAACTCCTGTAACTCCTGTATTCTCTACTATTATACTTCGTTTGCTGACATGATGGATGTTGCGTGTGGTATACCAAACACTTTGAAGATGGAGAATTGACTAGTGGCAGTGCTCCAGTTGCCTGTGTGTGGATACTGAAGGGAGATGAACCCCACTATTGCGTGCACTGAACATTAATTTTAATAGAAGTCCCACTCTATTTGTACAAAGAAGATTGAAGAATAATGGAGATCAGGTATAGAGAGATTTATGTCAAGATGTGACCTTGACAATACTGGGTTTGTTTAAAATACAAATGGTAGGTTTAGCTTAAGCAAAGGGTTAAAGAGTTATGGATGTTGAGTTGAGTTAGAATCTGTTAATTAAGAAATGGGTATTGAAGATAGGGCAGAAATAATAAGTGGTAACTGGATGTGATAGACATAGCTTTGTTGGAGTTTAGAATGAGAAAAAGGAAATAATAAAAGATATTTCTTTTAAATGTAAAAGGGATGAAAATATGCAGCATTGAGAATGAAAAATGACAGGAGCTCAATTATTGAGTAGAATGTAAGATATAGGGATACTTAAATTAAGGGTCATATAAAAGCAAGGGCACAAGATTTTTTAGGAAAAAATCCCTGATGAAACAGGTTTTATATACAACATGCAGATATGAATACATATTTATGACGTGTTACATTCTGTATGATTATGGTCTCTGCTGACTATGAAATAATATAG